TGAGCCTAATGGCACATGGGCGATACCACACCTGAGTGAAACTGCTTCAACAACTTCCCGGTTTGCAATGCGAGCCTTCGTGGATGCACTCCATTCAGAGGAAACCATAAGAACAAACTGCTCTCGGGTGCAGCAAAGCAGATCGGGCACCATCATTTATGAACCAAATCACCTCTGGGTGCCCTAAACGCAAGCAAGGACAAAGCACCGACTGTCTGCATGCAAACCCTCACGCAGCAACACTCTCACGTCTTTTCATCTGTTCACATATCCAGATTTTTTTGTCTTATGTCCAGTGTAGTAGTTTTCCTTTAGTGTTGAGAAATTCCACTTTTTGGGTGACCTCCTGTTACACATCATAATGACATTTTGTTATGAATAATTCTCTGTACTAAAAATGAAATGCTAAGTCCAAAGGTAGAAATAAAAGCTCTATGTTCATGGCAACATATCTACAGTAATATGAGCTGTGCAATCACTTTATTGCACTATAACGTTGATGGGATATACTTTTCCTGAGCCAAACAGCACAGTATTTGAACTGGAATATTCCTTCATCCTTATTTCTCACTCATAAAATGAACATTTTTATCCGAGACATGTTCATTTGTGAACACATCTAATTTGTTGACTGTTGTTGATTATGAGGTTTGTGGCTTTTCACATGGAAATAAAGAAAAGAAGAGAAAAGTGTTTGATATGCAAATATATAGTTTAACTGAGCTGTCAGTTACTGACACCAGAGAACACATACAATAATTGTCTCATAAGCATTACAAGCTAAATCAAAGCTTTGCTAGATTCTTATTTGTGTTCAATTAATCGAGCATTCATTTGGATTTCTTCTCCAAAATATAGTGATTATTGTGATTTAATAACAATGACTCACTGTAGCCGCTGATTTCAAGCGTGACTGCTTTAGAAAGCATTGTGAAGCTTTTCACCGATGTTTATGTCAAACACCGATCACACTGGCTCCTACGTTCATATCAATAACAGAAAGAGATCTGCTATAAAGAGAAATGTTTCCCTCCTGTGGTCAAAATGTGGAAGTGCGTATATATGTCTGTATATACAGTATATGTGATTTATATATATATATATATATATATATATATATATATATATATATATATATATAT